ATGAACTCAGGATTGAGACATGAACTTGGGTTAATCAGATGCTTTCAATCTTGTAAACCACTTCTAGATTTTTGACAGGAAGTGGTATATAAATTTTTTAAAGTAAAATAATTAAATCTTTACAGGACTAACCTACCTCAGTGGATAATTATGTGAGTAAATGGGATGTAGGGGAGAGAAAAACGTATATATTGTCCTGAATTCCCAGGAAAAATGGAGAAATAAATAAATAAATAAATAAATAAACAAACAAACAAACAAACAAACAAACAAACAAACAAACAAACAAACAAACAAATAAATAAATAAATAAATAAATGAAGCAGACCTTCATGATAGGACACAGAGAGATAAGCGTAACTGACATCAACATCAGTTTTTGCTGGTGTAGGTTAACAAAATACTTCCCTCCCCAGAAGCAAATGTGGCAATGAAAAATTTAATGATGCAAACTCTTGAAACAATCAAAGCACTGGACAAAAATCTGTGGTTATATTAAATGAAAGAGATTGCAGTATGGTGAAGAGGACAAAGGATTCATACAAGAGAGATGGGTTGACATACAGCAGACTGTTCCCACTTCCATTTCCTGTTTTCCCAATATGACAGGAGAGCAACAGGTTCCGCAGAAACCACATTGCTAGAAAAACACAGGCCACGGGCCACATGAAACCGATGTTGCCTCTGCCCGATCTAAAATTCTTTGAGGGTGATTTCCTCTAGGGCAACCGGTGTCCTTCTCTGGCTTGAAGGAATCAATCTGCTCATTCCTCCTAACTATCCATCACCGGCTGGACTGCCTATGGGGCTCCTTTTCTCACTTTTTCTTCCATTAGGCAGGCTGTGTTAGGGAAATGGATTGCGGTGCTGCCTTCAAATAGTGGTGGCCAAGGAGCTGCACAAATGGGCAAGCAGGAGACAGCAGATGGAGGGGGAGGCAGAACAGGAAACTCATTTACCCGGAGTAAAAATAGGCTGGAAAATGTGACATTTATTAAGTACAATTGTGGAAGAAAGGTCATTGCCAGCCCCAGCACCAAGATGGGGTGCCGCTGATTATACAGCTGGGGAATGAGGCAGCAAAGCCAGGCTGAACAACAGCAGCTGGGGGGGGGGGGGGGGAAGGGCAGGGAGAGAAACAGAAATGTGTGCATTTGGGTGTTGCTGCTGTTGTTGGTGTTGGTGTTTTCTTTTTGGTGCTTCCAAGCCTAAAATGCACCAGCAGTGCTTCTTGCTGTTCCACATGATACCTCAATATCATTATCTGCCCATACCCTTCTCTGACCGATCAACCTTCTCAGTCTTCAAGCCCCAATCAAGATGCTGCTTAAGGAAATCCAAGCAAAGAGACTTGCTGCATCAAGCACCATCACCATCAACTTCTTTTGAAATTCTGGAGAGCACAATCCTTTAACTGAGGGCTTTCTTCTGTCAGAATTGCAGCCCTCCTTGCTTTTCAGTTCATGTTCTCATCCAGCCCTTTGGACACCATGCAAACCTGTCTTTTGGAATTAAATAGCTCCAGCATATCCCTCACTTCCACTCCCGTGGTGGCTAGATGCCACATGCCCCAGATACTGTTCTTTCTCCCCTCTCATGGAGACTTGCCTTCAAATACCAAGGTCAAAGAAAGAGGATGTGAAGGGGAAAGTGGCGGATCTACCTCACAATCTCTTCCAGGGAAGGGAGGTAAGACCAGCGGCATGAAATCTAAAAAGAAAACAATTGCCCTTGCCAAAGAACCTTTGACATTGACTCCATTTTTTTTTAAGAAATACATTAGCTTCCTTTCCAAGTGCTGGAAGTGGAATCCCTGCAGAGCAGATGCCAGCTGGGTAATTGTTCTTTTTGAGTGTGCACACTTGGTGTGGCTGAGCTTATTTCCTCCAGCATGTCTCCATAAAACTTCATTTGCACTTCCCCCTTTACCACTTCCTTTTGCTCTGCCTTGATAGCCTCTCTACCTTGTATCCGTGAGACGCTTTGTACTCCAGCATTCCACAGAGGAAAAATGTCCCGAAACGCAGTCTAGCCCCCCAACGGGAAGCAGACTGCCTGTCCTGTAAATAAGTTGGTCATGGGGGGGAGGGGAATGCGTCTATGAGTAAGCTGAAATTGAGATCCACTCATAATACGGATGCTTCCAGGGCAAGAAATTAAGGTTAGAAAAACATACATAACAAACCAAAACAGCTGGCTGGAAAGTGTTCCAAACCGACACTGAAGGGGTTAATGGCTAAACCAAATGTTTGTCTTCCGACGCCTGCGATCCTTGCTGCTGCAAAGGGACTGGGACAGGATGAGACCAAAGCAGAACACTTCCATCGCCTAATGCATGGCTGTCAGGGAATCTCCTACCCAGCAGAATACAAAGAACCAATTGATTTTCCCGGCACAGACCAAACAGCAGTTGGTGTGTGTGTCTCTCTCTGTGTGTGTGTGTGTGTGGGAGGAAGGACCCTGCTTAGCACTGTTTGAGGAGTCCAAGCCACTGAGTTCACGCACAGATGCATTCACAACATCACCAGGAAAGAGGAGGTGCAGGGTAAGTGGTGAGGTCTCCCTTCCGTAGCCGTTCATTCCCCCCGTACATCTAAGAGAGCAGGCGGCCAGTGTGGATCAGGAGCGGGCAAAGCCCGCTAAGATTTACTACACAGGCTGGGCTTTACTGCACACAAGATGCTTACGCTGGGGAATCTTCCCAGCGGCTCTTTAATTTGCCATCCCATAAAGAATGTGAATTTGTGACGCTAAATAGGGGGAGATCATTTACCAAGCACAGCTCTTACTTACAGGTTCTTTAAAGGGGATTCATCAGGAGAAGCAAAAACTGGTGCAGCAGTCAACGTAGCAGCAAAGTGGTCACAGCGACGGTAAGTAGCAGAAGCAGCAGCTGCACTTTTTCCGAAGGGAAACTGGACCCATGCTAGCCTTTTCAGTGATCTTTCTGTACCTTGCTACTAGGTACATACTCGTCTTCCCCGTGCCTTAGGCCTGTTTATTCATAGCCCCCACCCCACCCCCTCAGAATAACCAAGAGCAGAAAATAATATTACAGCTAGAATGGCCAAAAAAGTAAAAGGAATCTCTCGTCCCCATTCCCTCCTACCTGTTCTACTAACTAAAGCTACTCATAAACGCCATTTCTTTGGCACAAGGATTCTATGGATGGGACATTTCTTTCCCTCAACAGCCCCCACAACATGCAGTGTCCCCAGAACTGCATAAGAGCAGACATTAGTTCTGAGCCAGACACTTAAATCTCAGGGCCAAAGGACACCTTATTTAAGGAGAATCATGACTAGATTTCCTAATAATAGTGTTGGTTGTTTGTTTCATTGATTGATGGTGTTTTAATGAAATGCAGCCTTAGGAACTGCCAATTTCTTTGGACCAGTGCTTGGGAAAGAAACGGAGACTTTAATTCATTGCATCAAGGAAAGAAAAAAAGAATAAACTCCTTCCTGATCGACTGTTGGCCCCATAGAGGGAAAAATGCAAGCCTGAGAATATCCTTTGGGGGGCCAACAACAGCTGGATTGTTGAGGGGCAGATCTAGACCAGGAAAACAGCACAAGAGGAGTGTTAAACACCCTCTGGGTCCTCCTCACTCACTGCTGAAGAAACTGACAGACTCTGTGGGTGCATTTCAAGAATAACAACCGTTTCAGGTAAATAATCAGGCGATCCAGATGCAAATGGGAAGCCTGAGGAACGGGGTGGTGGTGGTGGTCTGAGCGGGTTGCCAGACAGCTGAGCTTTATCTGACTAACATGCAGTGTGTGCAATTTCATCTCAGTATTCTGATGGCGGGGTGATGCATCTACAGAGCAGACTTCATACTTAGTATTGCTGGTTGTTTCCCCACTCCAGCCAGGGGTTCTGACACAGCTTACATGGGGCTCATGCAACCAAGCACTTTAAACAACCATTGCTAACTCTGGGCCAAAGTTGTCATCTATCTTTGGCCGGCTCCTGCCTTGTATTTCTCTGCCAAATCCGACATGCACTTTCACAGCAAAGACTTGAGACCAGATGACAACAGCAGCAGGAGCCTAGAAGCTGATCTTTGACCCACCTAGCATGTGTACTTACTATGCATATGCATGGGTCATTTTCCTCCCCACCTCTCCATTTATATTTCTTCTTGTTCAGCACACTTCTCCTTTTAAACCACCCCCACCCACCCCCCAACACACACACAGTGATCAGAAGGCGAAGCAGCCTCCCGTGTCCGCAGGAGAGAAGCAGCTCATTTCCAGAGTCATTATGGTCTGAAAAGGGTCCCATCAGGTATTCCGCCCGCTCAGCACATTTATTTCCCCAAACCACAGCGGGGATTTGTGATTTTTCAGACCCAATATCAAGCAAGCACGGGGCTGGCTCATTCCACCCAGTAGGAAGCGTCTCAGATAATGCAGTCAATACCATGCCAGAACGTGCCAAGAGAGAAGATGGCAGAGTGACTTGCCATACCACTTTAGCTGGAACAGTGGCACTGCTACAATGGGCACTGGACTGGGAGCACAGCTTGACTGAAACTGGGAAAAGCCCTTAAGCAGCAGATCACTGGAAAAATGCAGGAATCCCTAAGCGTATTCAGGACCCATCTGGGCACCTTATATCTTTAAATATCTGGGACTTTATGGCCTTCTCTCATAACTTACAGGATTATCAGCTCTTGCTTCCTGCCCCATTCCTCATTCTCAGTGGCTATGTACTCAAACAAAGTAAGAGTTATTCAGGATGTTCCTATAACATTCAGCCTGCTTCTGCCTATGTCATCCTTCTTTCCTTTCATATATTATTACCCCCTGCATATTTCATCCAGTGTCCCAAGTTCCCAGACGCTTGGGCAGGACTGGCACCCTATCCATTCTTCTTTTTCAGACTGATACTTAAGATGCAACCTCAGCCTTGACATAAACCTGGGTACTGGTAAGACACTAGTTCCAAAAAAAGCACGAGGAGGACCCAGGGAAGGCAGAACAGATACTCACCACTGTGAAGTTTTCTGCAGAGCAATTCTCACCACTAAAGCTGCAGTTCTTCAGCATGTCATCAAGTTGGTGCCCAGTGCGGTTGACAATGTCAGCCATGTCTGGGTCAGGATAGAGCAGGTCAGAGGCCCTGTGTCCATCACGGTCCTTGGGTGGCAATCCAGTCATGTTGGCTAGGTGAAAAATATCGGCATCTGTAAGCGCCGAATGACGGAAACGGTTGATGTTGCAAATGGTGACGGCTGGGAAGACCATCTTTTGGGTAGCCTCCTCATCCAGGGTGGTGACATGCGGATGCTCCAGGTAGAAGAGTGCTGACCGAGCTGCCTGATACAAGAAAAAGGCCAAAGAGGCCACAAATGCAAGGGCCCAGAGGACCTGTCGGACCCCCAGTTGCCCTGAGCGGCAAATATGGGCCAGGCCGTGCAGGGTGCTGGTGCCGGCGAAGGCGGCCAGGTCACGATGGCGTGGCCGGCTAGGCTCCTCTAGCAAGCTCTCCTTGTCCCCTTCCTCTTTCGCCGCCTGCTTCTCATCCTCCTCTGCAAATTTGATTTTGCAGACAATCTCAATCGGCATCTGTGCCGAGGCACCAGGCAGCACGCTACCTCCCCAGTGAGGGGAGGCAGTGGAAGCCTGAGGTGCCCCGCACCGGCCGCTTACCCCTGGCTGCTGCAGGACGCCCCTAAATTAGTAAACCTGACCAGGGAGGAGGAGGAGGAGGAGGACTGGGGAATCTGGCCCCAGTCTCTCAGAAGCTTCTGAACGCAGCTTTCCTCTTGTCTCACTAGTGATCTTCTGGTGCTTCCGTTGGCTTATCTGCACAAGCCCAGCTGTCAGAGCTGGCCGCCGCTCCCTGGTGCCGGCTGTGTGTGCCGCTCCTCCGCACGCCCGGTTAAGACCCCGCCAGATACAGGCAGCATTTAGGCATCATGTGCTAATAAAATCCAGGGGATACTTAATAATTCAAGGCATGTCAACATTATTTCATCCTCAATTTTTTTTTTTTTTTATAAAAAAAAGCAGGGTGTAGTGGGGAGAGCTAGTGGAAGACAGTGAGCAGTGATGGGAAAGCCAGAGCTTGGCTTGCCAGAGCCCCCACTCCGAAGTGGTACTAGAGCCACTTGTTTGAATCACTCGCAAGCTGGCAAAGTCTGTGCCAAGGAAAGGAGCAAAGGAGCCAGAGATCGAGGTTGCTGCTGCTGCTGCTGTCGGCTGCGGGAGCTCCTCAGACAGGCTCCCTGGCTCTCGCTCCGTGCCCGACACCCTCTTCCTCCGGGGGAGTCCCTTCAGGTGAGCCCAAAGCAGCCGCCCGGCTAATTCCTCCTACCTTCCATCTCCGCGGACCTTCCGACGCCTCCTCGCCCACGCCGAGGCAGAAGAGAGGAAAAGTTGAGAGGGACGGAGAGGGGCAGGAATGAGCTCCTCGCGCGTCGTCGGTTGGTACCGGGTCCAATTGGGCAGCGGCGGCACATACGACACCCCCACCCCCACCCCACCCCCGCCCCGCAGGCTCGAGAACTGTCTTAATTGGAGAAGGAGCGGCGGAAGAAGGCGAGCGGAAGCGGGGAGGAGACGCCCCCCTCCTCCTATTGATCCCGCTCCCCACGGAACAAACGAGAGGCAAAAAGTGAAAGGCTTATTGATCGGTGGGAGGGAGCGCAGCTGCCGGGGATTAGGGCGCGCGCGAGCGGGCGTGTGAGGAGAAGGCGGCGGGCGCTTTCCGAGGAGAATGAACGCCGCGCAGCCGGGACCGCGGCACTGCCCATAGCCGGGCTGCAGCACACCCTCCTTCCCCTCATCATCGATTCCCTTTCCTCCCTTTGCTTCGGAGGCACTTTAATTGCTTTTCCAAACGGATTTGACTTCCCTCCCTCCCTCCCTCCCGGCCTGCCTGCCAAGTGGAATCCAGGCTGGGGAAATCCCCCGGCAGCTGCAGTTGGCGCGGGACCAGAGCTCTCGGGGCGCTCCGGCCCGCGTGATGCACAGAGGACGCCTTGTGGGGCGGGGTGGTGGGAGAGCCGGGCAGTGCCGAGGCGGAGGAGGGCGCCGGCAGGAAAGGCAGACTCGCCAACTGCGCCGGCAGGTGTTGCGCGGAGGCGAGCGGGAGGGCGCAGGCAGGGCTATCCCAAAGTTCTGGGAGAGGCGACGCCCGCTTTGCTCCCAAGGCAAGTCGGGCCAGGCCGCAAAGCGATCGTCGGACTCGACTCTGCGAGGGAGCTGCTTCGGAGCCCGGGCGCCGGCGAGCCGAACCCAGAGCGCTCCCGCTTGGCCAGCCGCTCCCCAGGCCGCGGTCTTGGGGCGCTCCGTCACGGAGATTCCAGGCTCGGCTACTGGAGGTTTCGGCGCGCAAGGCCGTTGACGGGTGCTCCCTTCTGGGGAGAGGTTCTCCGACCGACCGACCGACCTACCCTCCGTTTGGGGCATCGGCGGGGTTTTCGCCGGCACATGTTGAGAAACCGACGCTACGGCAGGAAATATCCCGCCGCCGCCGCTCCCGCGATCACAGTCCCAAATCCCTTCTCCCTCGGTGGTTTTGCCTGTCACCGCGAGCTTCCCTAGGCGGCAAGGCCCGATGCCAGCCCCAGATACGGCCGAGGAGCTCGTCCGCCCGTCTTCCAGCCCTGAAATCGCCTTGCAAAGAAAGGATACACGCGTCCCTGCGGGTCCAGATGGAAGGAGAAGTCCCTTCTGGACAGGAAGCGCTAACCGATGCCCAGGGCGGAATGCCAAAGTGGCCGTGTCCCAGCGGGAAAGGGGTGGAGGGTGGAAGTGACAGAAAATTAGGAGAAGGCCATAGGAGTTTCTCAAATGAGGCGGAGTGGAGTATGGAAGCCAAAAATCAGGAAGAGGATCCGGCCATTTCAGTGCCAGCTTCGGAAAGCACCATGCCTGCTTCTGTCTGGCCATAGTGCACGGTGCAAAAGTTGTACACTGAAAATACTGGTAGTGGCAGACCAAGGGGTTGGTGGTTGAAATCACTTCAAGATCTTTTCAAAACCGTACACCATCTTTCCAGGTCTTTTGAGACACAAATATTCTCAGCCTCACTCTTAGGTGTCAGCTGTTCTTGACTCCAGATTATCATAGTTCAGCATAATAAAGATCTGTTGCCTTTTAATTTCTGAATGCTTGCTACTGACCTAGGAATCTTAGCTTAATCTAAGTTATATATTACTTTTGCACGCAGCAGGCTGACCTTGGTATTTACCTTAGGAGTGGCAATGTATTGATGGCTGGGAAAGTGCACTCTTTTCCCCTGTTCTTTTTGGAGGCTGATGGTGGGTAATCAGGCAAGTAGGCAAGTACTTTTTCCCCCTTTAAAATACATTTACAACTTAGATACACTAAATTCACTGAAAATTTGATCACTTTATTTATTTGGATTTTCACCGCAAATCAGCTGGCAATTGCTTCCTAGTGTTCATCAATTTGCCAAGTTTGAGAATGGCAAAAGTGTTTGAAGCTTGACTACAACTGATTACAACACCAATATCCATCACCACAATTCCACTGAACTTTAATACTCCAATCATATTAAGCCAATTAAATTATATTCCCAGGGCTTCCTTCAATCTCACATCAATCTTTTTGAGCTATCAGTTGACAGTTCTGAACATCTCACTGAGTTAGGAAACTCATAAAAGACCATTTCCATTTCCATCTTCTCTTTCTCTCTTTTAAGACTTCCACTATCTTTTCAAACAAAATATCCTTAAGCTACAATTAAGACACTAAGCAAAGTAATATACACAAAGACAATGCAAGGAATTTGGGGGCTGAAAAACAGAGTTTGAAATAGATTCCTTATTTATGCCAGTAGCTTCAGAACTGCATTAAGACTGAACAAATGCTGCTACAGGACCAAAAATCACTTCACAAATTCTGCACAAACCAGAAAGAAGACACTCTATGGAAAACTGAAGTTGACATTCACTCCTTCATGAGCATATCTGTACAATATACCTATTACATCTATGAGGCTACAATACTTAAAATCGGGCATAAACATTTAAGATACAGACGAAATAGCCCCGGATTTGTTAGCAAAAAGATGAATTCTCCAGAGAATGGCAACAGAGGCCTCTTCAGTAACAAAAGCATTACGGTATCTGCTTGAAAGCCATAAATGTGCCCCACCTGCCATCAACTGTGATTTACTTTTTTCCAGAATTTCCAGACAGGCTTGTTCAACCTAGTGCTTCCAGAAGTATTGGGATTACAATACTCAGAATTTCCAGCCATGAAGGTTTGGAATTCTGGAGTTGTTGTTCCAGCACATCAGGAGGTACAAGCTGAAGAAGCTTGGGGTAAAAGGGTGAGTGACACACCTGGGAAGAAAACAGCTGGTGAGAAGACTTGTTGGTAGTCAAAGATATAAATTTAATCTATGTAGCTTTTAAACCTGGCTACAATCCTTGTGTTCCCCTTTGCCTCTGAAAGATCCCTTATGCCAACGGTTCTCAACCTATGGGTCGCGACCCCATTTGGGGTCGATCGACCATTTCACGGGGGTCGCCAAGCAAGGCTGTCCGCCATTTTTTACCCCTTTTCCGGCGGGTGCCTTACCTCCCTTGGGCTGGGCCAGCTGGTGGTCGGCCTGCTCCGTCTCTGCCGCTTGCCAGCTACGCCTCGGCCGGCGCAGGGGGCGGAATCACACATGTGCAGCGCTCCCGAGCAGGGAAAGTGCTCGACTTACGACCGGTTGGGTAGTCCTCGACTTACGACCGGTTTAGTCCTCGACTTACGACCGGTTGGGGGTCGCGGCATTAAAAAGGTTGAGAACCACTGCCTTATGCTGACTCAGGGAAACTTCCCTCCTTCTTCAAGGCACTGGCCAGGGGCAGCACTAGTGAGAGCCAGCAGGGAGCTTTCTAAGCGGTGGCTCTGGGCACTATGCCACCTTGGATCTGGCACCACCTCCACTTTCTAGGTCCTTTATCCCAATTCAGACCCATGCCCGGCTGCATGTTTAGAGAAAATAAAATTTGGGCTCTTGTTAATTTTAATCTACTTGAAGAGACTGTAAAGCCCAGCTGGTTTAAGCATGAGTCTTATGTCAAACAGAATACCTTGAACTTGTGGCAGAGAGGAGGGGGGGGGGTGCCCTTCCTATGGTGCTTGTTATAGCAGCCAGGTCAGGCTTACAAGGAAGGAGACAAGCGCATACTGCCTTTGGGAGATCTGGGATGACAAGATGTCCAGTCCAATTACACATGTGCCATCAAAAGATCTGGGGCAGCCTCATGGCTGGTTCCTCTGCAGTCTGTTCAGCTTCTTCAGCATAGGATAAGAAGAAGCAACATCTGGCATTTGGATGGCTGGAAGCAGAAGGGACAGTGAAGAAAGAACGTGGGATGTAGCCACATCTTACACCGGCAGCAATAGTGAGGCAATGGGACATCCATACACTCACCATATCTGTATCACAGCTATGTTACTAGACAAGCATATAGAAAGATTCTTGAGCTACAATACACAATCAAATTCCAGAATGCAAATAAGTAACCCCAAGGCCCAGGTAGGTGAGTGTTCTTATTGTGATGTGCAAAGCAAACCTTAATGCGTAAGGGCATTCT